GAGGTAATAAAAAATGTGATTATTTTTCTATTCTTAGACAGAAATATTGGCTTATTGGTTATAAAAACATTGCAGATAGAAAATACAGGAAACATTGGGGAAGATGGTAGAGCAAAAGCTCTGGGAACATGGGTTCAGATCTCATCACAGCATCTGGTGGAACTTAAATTTCGCAAATAAAATCTGGAATGTGTCAGTTATGATGATTGTGGCAATTCTTTGTTAAAAAAGCCAATCTGGTCCATGAACATTCTTCAGGGAAGGAAATCTGCCATCATTTCCTGGTCATGTGACTCCAGACCCACAGCAACAATGGCTGACCATGAATTGACCTCTAAAATGGCTGAGCAAGCAACTCAGTTCAGAGGCATCTATGGATTGACCACTAATGTGGGCCTTGCCAGCAGCACCCATGTCCCATGAAAGACCATAAAAGATGTCCAGCATTGGTCATTTGAACATCAAGGATTCCCTTTATTTTACAACTTGGCAGAATCCTTAAGTGTACTGATAAGCAGAGGGATCTGGATATACAGGTACATGGGTCACTGAAAGTGGCAACCCAGGTGGAGAAGGTGGACAACAAGGCATACGGCATGCTTGCTTTCATCGGCCGGGGCATTGAGTTTAAAAATTGGCAGGTAATGTTACAGTTTTATAAAACCTTAGTTAGGCCGCATTTGGAATACTGTGTTCAATTCTGGTCGCCGCACTACCAGAACAATGTGGTGGCTTTGGAGAGGGTACAGAAAAGATTTACCAAGGTGTTGCCTGGTATGGAAGGCATTAGCTATGAGGAGATGTTGGAGAGACTTGGGTTGTTCTCACTGGAACGACGAAGGTTGAGGGGTGACCTGACAGAGGTCTACAAGATTATGAAGGGCATGGACAGAGTGGACAGTCAGAAGCATTTTCCCAGGGTGGAAGAGTCAGGTACCAGGGGGTATAGGTTTAAGGTGTGAGGGGCAAGGTTTAAAGGTGATGTACGAGGCAGGCTTTTTTACACCGAGGGTGGTGGGTACCTGGAACTTGCTGCCGAGGGAGGTAGTGGAAGCAGATACGATAGTGACTTTTAAACGGCGACTTGACAAATACATGAACAGGATGGGAATAGTGGAATACAGTCGCCAGAAGGGTAGAGGTTTTCAGTTGTGATTGGCAGCATGTTGGTGCCGGCTTGGAGGGCCGAAGGGCCTGTTCCTGTACTGTAATTTGCTTTGTTTTTTCTTCTTTCTTCTTTGTACAATATGGGTAAGTGGGCTGTACAACCTGAATGGACATGTTGTTTGACCAATGGTAGTTGTGTGGGTTTTGGACATCATGTGATGAAAACCTCTTGGAATATGCCAATGATGTTTGACAACCTTAAACGATATTCATATTCCTGACTTTTAAGACTTGATAATGCAGAATTCGTTGTTTTGCAAAATGAATAAAAGTGCACATGTATTTTGCAGGCGTGATTTTTGGGTTTCCTGTTTCAAATAGAGAACTCACCTATTGGAATCACAGACTGAAAATCCAACAGCGATAATTCATAATCTTAAGAGGTGACCATTCATCTCTCATATAAGATAACAAGATGTAGAGCTGGATGAACACAGCAGGCCAAGCAGCATCAGAGGAGCAGGAAAGCTGACGTTTTGGGTCTGGACCCTTCTTCAGAAATGGT